TACCACCCTCTCCCTTTTGAATATAAGAAACTATCAGCAGGCAAGGAAAGCCCTGCAGAAGATGGAGCAAGCATCTTCAGTTTCCTCTGAGTTCTAAGTGTCCCTCTAATTACAATTTTTCTGGCTAAAGATTTAATTTAAAAGCATGGGTCCCACTTGCCTTTTCCCACACCTGCAGACAACAAATCCTTCCTCTCATTGCACTGTCACCTTTCTCTTCATCACCATCATCATTTCACCTTCCATGTTAAGTCTCACCTCTGATAGCTCTTTCTCCTGCCCTTCATTTTAAAATCCTTCCAGTGTATCAGTGCTGTGATATCAATTCTTTCCAGAAGTCACCACACTCTTGGCAGGCTATTCACCTATATCTTTTCTTCCCTAAAGTGGCTTGAGTACTGCTAGACAGAGAGTTGAACACTTTCTTCTTTAAGAAGGCAGCAACAGAGTGAGGATGAGGGTCTTACACCTCCTCAGAGGTTATCACTGCTTGCATTTACAGTTCACATGAGTCTTATTTTGGTGCAGGAGGAGAACCCAACATCAACACCAACTGTTTCTTCAATTTTGGGTTGTCAATACTGCAACGAGCAGCCCAAACAAATTCAATAAACCACTAATTTAGGCAGCTAAAGCAATCTACAATCCTAGACAAAACAAATTTATCTACAGCTATTTCTGCCCTTTCTGCTTTTCTTTATAGGACACCCAGTTCCTGCTCATACACCTCCTGAGAGGATGCCTCTTGCTCCTTCACTCCTTCAGCCACATTCCCTGTCAGGCCCATTTTGTCTACTGACAAAAGTCACCTTGCAGGACATCCAGTAGTAGTCTTAATAGTTCATAGGGCAAGTGGCTTCTCATTTTCCAAGAGTATTTTCATGTGAACAGAGGGTCAAAGTTCAATCTCTGTCTTTTATAGGTGGTGCATTATTACCCTCTGAAATCTCAATACACAAAGACAGAGAAAGATAGCAGAAAGAAGGTAGCAAAGATATGGATTCAAAGTTATGTTTGTGAGTTTGATGCTGATATGACTATGAAGCATGATAGCCTTAAGGTAAAATAAACAAACTATGCAAAGCCAAGTCATTACAGCAGGGCAGCTACCTTTTCATTTTGCTAGAGACCTATTTACCTACAGGTGGAAGCCCTTGTCAACTTTTTATTTAAAGTCAGCTACTTTTTGTCTGTCCTCTCTTTCACTAGCAAAGAGACCATCTTTACTGTTTCTGTTTAAGGCAAAGAAGATAATCAGAACAGTAAACAGATTAACAAAGATTGCTAGAAAAATTATTATCATAGGATCATAGAATGGTTTGGGTTGGAAGGGGCCTTAAAGTTACTCTAGTTCCAAACCCCCTGCATGGGCAGGGACACCTCCCACTGGATCAGGCTGCTCAGAGCCCCATCCAACCTGCCCTTGAACACTTCCAGGGGTGGGGCAGCCACAACTTCCCCGGGCAACCTGTTCCAGTGTCTCACCACCCTCAGACTAAAGAATTTCTTCCTAATGTCCAACCTGAATCTCCCCTCTTCCAGTTTAAAGCCATTACCCCTTGTCCTATCACCACATGGCCTTTTAAAATGTCCCTCCCCGGGCTTTCTGTAGCCCCTTCAGGTACTGGAAGGCTGCTATGAGGTCTCCCCAGAGCCTTCTCTTCTTGGGGCTGAACAACCCTGACTCTCTCAGTCTGTCTTCATAGGAGAGGTGCTCCAGCCCTCTGATCATCTTTGTGCCTTGTCTCCTTGTCCAGGATTAATAAATACTTTATGTCTCCCTATCCAGGATTAAGAAATATTTTTATATCATCTTTTCTGCTCAGAGTCCAAGGTACAACACTAAAAGCAGGTGGAGCAAACCCTATATCCCTGTATCTGCCAGTTCCAGGCCGGTGACAGCAGGTGGGTGCAGTCGCAGCGCCAGCACTGCCATGATGTTTAACCAGCTTCATTCACATCCTAGCTGCACTTAGGGATGTTTGGAAACCTCCAGTTGAGATTTAATCAGTTTTCTCAAAGACATGTCTTTCTGAGAAGGCAAGAAACACAGTTAGGTTGTCCTATATTAGCTAGAACACACAAAGAACAGAATCTTCCCAGTTGAAAGTCTATTTCAAATACAAACAAAAGCATGCAAGATAAGTAAGATTTGTCCAGCCTTGTGCAGGTTAAACATACATTAAACATAGGAAATACTTAGAAAAACTTATTAAAGGTAGTTTGTTCTGAGCAATGCCCTTCAAGGGAAGCCAGCTCCTGTCAGTCACTGCTGCCTGTTTGGCAAGCTGTTTTGTGTTCTGCCTGTGATCCACACTGGGAAAACACCCCATTGGAAGGTTACCCCTGGGCAGGCAGCAGCCTTCCTGCCATGCTTCTCACTTTGTGGGGCTGACCCACAGCAACCCACATCCTCAGGCACACAGTTACCACCTCAGAGTCTGTTATGGCCAAAGATTAGAGATACTGGGTTGTTCCCTACATGAGAATGAACCCAATCCCATACCCCCTTCCCTTTCAAGGCAAAAGGCCTTTCACTTATTTTGGATAATGAGGCTGGAGAATAGTCCCACCATGGCTTTCAATCAACAATTCTTTTTTAGGAAGAAAAATTTCAAAACATTAAGTTCTGAAACCTGAAGTGAAGTAGTGGGCCTTTGGGCAACAGAGAAAAATTAGTCATCAAACCCTTCTTCAGTTTGGAAAGCTGTGCTATGACAAGAGAGATCCCAAAGCACTTGGGCCCTGGAGTCTGAGAGCAGTACAGAGGGAGGAAAGAGGGCTGGAGAACCACAAACCAGTAAGCATGGCTTGCATTCTTGGGGAAGCTCTAGCAAAAAAATATGGGGATAGTAAGGATTTCTCAAGAGCAAATTTTTCCAAAACTATCTACTTTCCTTTTCTGACTGAGAGAATAACCTAGTGAACAGGCAATTCTGCAAATAATTGGGTATTTTTTATTCAGTAAGGTATCTGCACACACTTCCTACTTTTTTTTTTTAATTAAAGGTTAGGATACTTGACTTACCTCCAAACTTCCCACCTTCACATTCCTCTCCAGACTGGGTAAACAGGAAATCTTGCATAATTGTCAATGTTCCTTATACCAGTTTGGCAGTGACATGGTGTCAGAGGGCATTTAACACCTTTGCTTTTAAGAAGTCCCAGCAGCTTAATTACTATTGAAATTATGACCAGGGGAACAAAAACAACAGTCCAGTTGTTGAGCAAACATTAGGATAAGCAGAATGTTCTGTTTCTCAATCAAGTTGCCTTTGTGCAACTCTATGAACTCACCTCCCACGTTCCAGGGTAAGGCAGAAGTGAAGCACAGTGGTGGCCCAAGAGATTCTATCCTGTTCTACCAATTATCAGGCCAAGTAGCACAGGAGCAAAGTGATTACTAATAACCTGAATTAACTAGAATAAGTTTCTGAAAAGTACCTAACGTGGGTTTTACAGTAGACTTCAGGTAACTGCATTGAATCAATGCACTTTGGAAAATCCTGCTCAATGGCCCAGTATATTCTCAGAATCACAGATTCACAGAATTATTGAGGCTGGAAAAGACTTCTGAGATCATCAAGTCCAGCCTATGACCAACACCACCACATCAGCTAGCCTATGGCACTAAGTGCCACATCCAGTCCTGCATTAAACAGCTCCATGGATGATGACTCCAGCACTTCCCTGGGCAGTCCATTCCAGTGTCTAATCACCCTCTCCGTGAGGAAGTGCTTCCTAATAACCAACCTAGACCTCCCCTGGAGCAGCTTGGGGCCGTGCCGTCTTACTGCAAGTTGCCTGAGAGAAGACCCCAACCCCCACCTGACTACAACCTCCCTCCAGGTAGTTGTAGAGAATGATAAGGTTCCCTGGGTCACTATTTCACTAGGTTCTAAAGTTGCCCCTTCATGTTGTGGTTTCTACAGCACCGTGTTACAATCAGCTTCTGCTCACCAGGAAATGAACTGAAGGTCACAGAGTTGTAGAAGGCAAGGATGGTCTTGTCAGGGCCCAGGGATGCATAAAGCCAGGAATCATGGAGGGACCTCCTCCACAGCCCTCTGGTTTTACACAGGCCCGTGCACCAGCACTTTCCAAAGTGCACTTCACTCTTACATGCAAGATGCCATCCCTGCCCTGCCCGCAGAGCATGCAGTAAAACCAGCAGGAAGAGATGAGCAACTTCTCCACTTCCACTGCTTGCCCATTCAGTTTGATCAGGTCTTAGCAGGACCTGGCTAACTGCAGGTGTGCTGAGGCCTTTGGGAAAATCCCAAATTCAAGAGTCAGCTTTGGTGTAGTCATTGGTGTGGGAGAAAACCCTGCTCAATTTGATCAAGGGGAGAAAGGTTGACAGGCCAGTTTTACTCCCCCAGAGGAGAAAGAGGAGGTGAGGGTAATTCAGCAAGAAATCTGGGCAGATATAAACAGCATTGAAGGCAGGGACAAGGTGACAAAAAGAAAGCTGACAAAAAGTGAAATTGCTCTATGTCAAGAGAGAAGTTCAGGGGAAGGAGAAGAAAATGTAAAGGGAAAATGGAAAAAGGAGGAAAATACTTGAAATAGAAGAGGAAGAGTGTTATAAGAAGGGGAATAAGAAGGTAAAACCATGCATGCAGAAGATACGTAAAGGTAAGTCCATGTGTATGTGTGCAAATACAACCCCTGGCAGGATGACTCTAGAGAGCGTCAGGTTTTGGTATTACAGGTCATCCTGGTATCTCACACCCTGTTTGTACCCTGACTGTGTGTAGTCATGGTGTGGTCATATCTGAAAGCAGAAAAATAATCTGTCAGTGTATTTTAAATACGGTGGCATAGTTTATTTTCAGCAGCATAAATGGTGTCCTAAAGACAAGACAGAATAATTCATGGCAAGGTAAATTGAAACAGGCTAGCAAGGGTGTAAAAATGAAGTCTGGATACTACAATAGGTAGTATATAGATCACCAAGAAAACAGTTCAGGGGTAGCCCAGTAGACAGGCAGTCCAGCTCAAGTCATCACTCTTAAAAGTGTTTATTAAAATCTGCCATGTCATTGCTGGTACATCACTGTAACATGAAAAGGCAAACCAGGAGTCAGATCCTGCTTCAGGAACCACACAGACTTGAAAATCCAGAGCCAGTCATCAGAAATTTCAGACAAACTAATCTTGAGCTCAAATAGATTTATGGAAAGTCACAAAAGCTATCAAGGTGTAACACATATTAATTTTACCTCTCTAACCTATTTCATCAAACCACTGGCCCACAGAAGAAGTATCTTCAATTCCAAGCAAGCATGCTCTCAAATGTGGGTGTAGAAATCCTCACACAGATACATTCTGTAGTTCATTGGACATCTCCTTGTCAGGGTTACTACAAGATGCAGACATTTCTTCTTTGTTGTTTGGTGTCCATGGTCAAGCAGCATAGAAATTCTGTGGGATCCCTTTCACCCCCAGACCTGTTATCTGTTTTCCAAATAAATAAATAAAAGAAAGAAAGGAAAAAGGTGATTCCCCAACTGAGTATAACAGAAACATTTGAGTGTTGTACAACAAATATCTCAGGCAACCCACCCCTATGAAGAGGGTTCCCAAAAAGAGCCCAAAAAGAGTGTGTTAGAACTTTTTGAGATTAAGTTCTTCAAGATTATCAAGCAGCACTGAATAATTTTGCAAATTTACACGTTGTCTGTGGTCTTTACCTCCATATTAATCAAACAAGTCACAGGAACTTGATGTGCTTTGCCCATGCAAGACAAATGGGAGTTCGGAAAACATCGATTCACTTCTAGAACCGGAAAACTGAGGAACAGAGACCAAAACACCAAGGCTCATAATGACCTTTTGGTATTTAATTATCCTGTGGGTGCCTAAATATTGCTGCTTGTGAAATCTTATCAGTTCTCAGCCATGGGAAATCTGCTCCAAGCCCTGCTTTCAACTAGAAGGTCCCAGATCCCAGATGAGATCCCCAGCCCTCCTGAAACTCTTCTTCATCCTGTTGCCCAAGTGATAACCTGGTTTGTTTTTTCCTATTTCCCCTTATTCACAACCCTTTTCATGCTATCATCAGCTTCCAGGGAATGATGGTAATTGATGATTAAAAACTGCATTTTATTCTCCTGATGTACTTTCTGCTAATGGAGTGAAAAAAATGGAGAGAGAAAAAAAGTTTTGGATTCAAGAATCCCTGAATAGAAATGTGGATAATTAGTTTCTCAAAATGTAGCAAATTATTTTAACAGACTAAAAAAAAAAAAATAAATCCCAAAATATTTGAGTTTGGAATGCAAAGCTCTGCCCTGATGAATTTAAGCATTCCTTTTTCAAGGAGCAATTTGTGTTGTAAATATTTAGATACCCTTACACAATTAGAAAATGAGAATGAAAGGAGTGAAATTTCTGATGAAAATACAGTAAGAGATAGAAGCAAGACCCAGTTTCTTACAGTGTTTTACAGAATATGCTGTAAAGCAGACCCAGGTCCACCAGCTGCCTTCAGATCCTGATCAGATACCAACTTTGGCTAACCAACATAAGCAACACTGTTACTAGCAATTTCTCCAAATCTTCCTTCTAAACGCTGCAGCAGCTGTGCAAAAGCAGCTGTGCTCAGCTGGGGAGCAAGCAAAACATCTGGATGAGCACATTAGGCAAGTGGGATGAGAAAGGACAAGGACTGCTACAGGCCAGGGGCATCTCACTCTCTGAGCACAAGACTTGGCAGGTCTGATATAAAGAAGGGAAGAAAATTTGCTCACCTTGAAAATCTCTCCTGCATGAGGTTCCTTGGCCAGGGCAGTCTTGTCCAGTCCATCGTATGCAGACGTGACGTACATTTCTGAGTAGTCTTTTCCCCCAAAGCAGCAAGAGGTGATCCTTGGAGTAGGAAGCCTCACAGTTTGGATTCTTTTTCCTGGGGGAAAAAGATGCAATTGTTTCCTAATGTGCATTTTCTATGAAGCATGTAAACACAAATGTACTAGTAGTGCACATGGCACAGATGTGGCATTTACTCAGAAGGCATCACCCCTTCAGAGACACCATATCCTAAAGGACAATTTGTGGAGAAATCAAATTCTTTTATCTCCATTATCTCTACTTTTAGCCTCTACCCTCTATCTGGGAGGCTTTGTTTCCTTTCACAAAATGAAGTGTTTAAGTATTTGAAGCCAGGAAGGGCAGAAACACCTGGGCCTGGGATGACTGTTGTTCCCTAACAGTGTTTCCCTTTTAAACATTTCAACACTGAGAATTTTTTCCTTCTTAATTAGAGGTATTGTTTCTCACAATAGACATGCAGTGTGTGTGTTTTCTTAGTGGCATTATGAAGATGAGTGTTCTGCATCAGCAGAGCATGGGAGCAAGGGTGCCTGGTACTGGGAGGCAGCACAGGGAGCAGCTCTCTCCATGTGATTGGGGCCTGGACCAGTGATGCTCATGGCAACCCAAGAGGAAGAAACAGGCTATAAACGAAGTCTTCGTACCTCAAAGTCTTCTTACCTCACCTTCAAACCATTCCTCCTGGCTGCCTTTCCTCTTGTCTTCATGGCAGACAGGTGACACTCAACATGCAGGTCCTGGTGCCTGCCTTACCTGTCTCTGGGTCTATACGGATCACTCTCCCGCCATCAATACAGGCCACCCAGAGCTTCCCTTCTGCATCAATGCACATCCCGTCAGGCATCTGCTCCTCCTTTTCTAGATGGTACAAAAGTTTGGGGCAGGCTGCAGGGAGAGATATAAAGCTAGTGTTACTTGGGCTGGTACCAGTTCTGTACCAGATACCAATCTGACATCTTCCACAATTTTGCAAACAGATGCATTCATTTTCTGTGACCAAGATGTGCTGCAAAATATGTATCACACACACACTTTTCAGATGTGTTAAAAGTCCAACTTAACATGACCAAAACAAGCCCCCAGTACAGCCATTGTATTTTGGGGTTGCATTGTATTTTGAATATTAGGGGTCCTATTATTTTACCAAGGGAAGAGAATGAAATGCCTCTGTCTCTCTTGTTAACCCACTAGTTAACAAGCCTGCCGTACCACAACTGCTGCAAGCACTGTAACTTTACCTGGACTTTCATTGCCCATGGCAGCCTGGAGGTCGTTTTATTAGCAACACATCACATAAATAAACTTGGGGTTGAATGTTTGTAATAAATAATCTCTGCCCACTAAAGATCAAGTGCTTAACTTTTTAATGGCCAGCCAAGTCACTGTAGCTATTAAGCCTGGACACCAACCTCCAGCAGTCTAGACTACAGTGCAGATGGGTTGGTGGACATGTGTGTGGTCTATAGAGTGGTGTCCATGGGCAGCAGTCTGCCTGCTCTGCCCTCAGTGCCTTTTGGCTATTACACCACCCAAAAATAAATGGACACCAGCATAAAGCCAAGGTCAGGAGACTCAAACTCATTACCTTTTTGTATCTGGGCGAATCTTCTCTATAAATCTTACCTCTGAAAATCTGTATCATTAGATAGCAGAAAAAACTGAAATCTAAATAACTGTAACTATTTTGTACAGTTTTGACCCAGGATTATTCAAAGTCCATACTAATTAAAGTACAAAGGCAGTTCTGCCATTTCAATTCCCATGGAGTATAATGGCTTGATACAACACAAAAATATTTCATAGTTTTGAAAGGAAGTTACATCCATTTGCCTTGGATTTAAATTTCCCTTTTTGCACGTATCATAATAAAAAATGTTTGTCTAGATAACGACTTCCAGTGAAAACTGCCAAACATCTGGAGGTAATTTTAATTTCAGGATTGGGAAACTTCATTCACAGTGATAACTTGATTTTTCAAACATCTTTCTGTGACATTCATGCATGTACATTCTGTCTTTGTATTTGTGGAGCTAGTCCAATCCAGTAGATGGCACTCAAGAATAATTAGCATCCTGTAACCTAATTCTCACTCTGCAGCACAAATTGCTTCTTCCCTGCAACTCCTGGACCGTGTCTAAAGATAAACTATCAATCCAGACAAAAGTAAGTTGAAGGATTGTCAGAAGTTTGTTCCCCAACTGCACCTGGCTCGTAACTACACGAGAACAATCATAGTCAGCCTGCTGAGAAGCTATGACCAGCAGATATGAGAACTGCCAAATAAATCACTGCACTTTCCATGCCCAGGCCCTGCTGCAGAAGCAGCAAGAGCTGCTCGTCACCCGATCAAGAAATGCGCGTGTACCGATCTTTCCAGTGTGCACATCATAGCTGAAGGCATGCACAGCATATGCCAGGCTATCGATGTGAAAAAAGGTCCTGTGGTCCAAGGACCAGTCCAGACCATTGGAGATGTCCACCTGGTCTAACTGTTTGATTACTGAATGGTCAGGGAAAAGGGTGTAGAGAGCTCCTTGCCGCCTCGCTCGGACCCCGGGTGCCGTCTCTTCGGCCATCGTACCTGAAGCAGAAATGGGAGAGCCCGTTAGAAAGTAGGATTTTTTTAAAAAAAAAAACTCCTCTACATTGTAACTAAGAGGTCCAAGGGAGACCGACTAGCCAGGTTGAGAAGGAAGAGAAGGAGCCTGACAGGGGCAGCTGCCTCCCGCCAAGGTGATTCCAGCCAACAAAAGGACAAGTTTCTTTGTTGCCATGAGATTTAAGTCATAGACACCAAAAACCCTCAACACATCCAGGACTGAGGTTTTGCTCAAAGCAGAAGCCAAGATGCAGGCAAGCATCATGTGCTCTTTCTGTTGTTGTTCTTTATAGGCTACTTTTATCATTTATATGGGCTGTGACCTTCTAAGTGATATAATCATAGAATGGTTTGGTTTGGAAGAGACTTTAAAGACCATCTAGTCCCACATCCCTACCAGGGACAGGGACACCTCCCACTAGCCTACGTTGTTTAAAGCCCCATCCAACCTTGCCTTGAACACTTCCAGGAAGGGGGCAGCCACAACTTCCCTGGGCAACTTGATGCAAACCACAGAGATCTCAGAAGCAAGTGGAGAACACAACAGAAGTGAGATTTCCTCTCAATTAATTTATGCCTCAGTGTTACACTTGTTATTTATTTTCTGACTGTCTCTTCTCTGGAAAGGAGAGAGTTCTGCAGAGACAGGACAGGAAGCTCTCAAGAGGACTTTTATGCCTTCTTTTAACTGTGACACACTGCCTGTTGGCTTCTTCTTTTAGAAGACCTCATGAGCTTGCTTTACAACACTTGGCCAAAAACCCTGTTGAAAGCATTGATCCACCATGCACAAATTTAAACAGGTGTACAAAACAGGTTTTTTCTCTCTTATTCTTGCCCTTGGCTCAGAATCACAGAATTACAGAATGTTAGGAGTTGGAATGGACCTCTGGAGATCAAGTCCAACCCCCCTGCCAGAGCAGGACCAAATCTAAGGTAGATCACTCAGAAAGGCATCCAGGCGGGTCTTGAAAAACTCCAGAGGAGACTCCACAACCTCTCTAGGCCACCTGCTCCAGTGCTCTGCAACCCTCACAATAAAGAAGTTCTTCCTCATGTTGAGGTGGAACTTCCTGTGTTCAAGTTTGAATCCATTTCCCCTCATCCTATCACAGGGAACAAGTGAAAAGAGGTTGTCCCTATCTTCTTGACACCCAACCCTCACGTATTTATAGACATTAATTAGATCCCCCCTCAGTCTTCTCCTCTCTAGACTGACAAGCCCCAGGTCTCTCAGCCTTTCCTCATAAGGCAGGTGTTCCAGTCCCTTAATCACCCTCATAGCCCTTTGTTTGACTCTCTCAAGTAGATCCCTGTCCCTCTTGAACTGGGGAGCCCAGAATGGGACACAACACTCCAAGTGAGGTCTCACCAGGGCTGAGTAGATGGGGAGGAGAACCTCCCTCAATCTGTTGGACACCAGGATGTGTCCAGCAAATATCTTAATGCACCCCAGGATACCAGTGGCCTTCGTGGCCACAAGAGCACATTGCTGCCCCATGGATAACTTGTTGTCCAGCTGGATTCCAAGGTCCTTCTCCACAGAGCTGCCCCCTAGCACGTGAAATCCCAGCCTGTGCAGGTGCATGGTGTTGCTCCTTCCCAGGTGCCAGACTCTGCACTTGTTCTTGTTGAATCTCATTAGGTTCCTCTTTGCCCAGCTCTCCAGCCTGTCCAAATCTCACTGAATGGCTGCACAGCCTTCAGGTGAATCAGCCAGCCCTCCCAGCTTCGTGTCATCAGCAAACTTGCTGAGGATACACCCTGTCCCCTCATCTAGGTCATTAATGATGATGTTGAAAAGGACTGGACCCAGCACTGATCCCTGGGGGACTCCACTAGTTACAGGTCTCCAGCTGGACTCTGACCATTGACCTCCACTCTAATGGCTTTATTGTGTAGCCAGTTCTTTATCCATCTCACTGTCCATTCTTCTACCCCACACCTCCTGAGCTTGCTCATTAGGGTGTTATGGGAGACTGTGTCAAAAGCCTTGCTTAGTTCAAGGTAGACCACATCCACTGGTCTCCTTGCATCTACCCATTCAGTGACAACATCATAGAAGGCTATCAGGTTAGTTAAGCATGATTTCCCCTTGGTAGATCCATGCTGGCTACTCATGCTTACAACTCCATTGACCTGCCAGCCCTCAAGAACAACCATGAGTCAAGTTAACTTCCTGATTTTTTACACATTTGAAATAAGAAGAAAAGGCTGGCTGGCAAAACAAATACAGAGCCATTTTCACTCCCACCAGTCACTCTCCAGTCCCAGCGTGGATTGCTGTGCTTGGCTAATAAACATTTATATGGGAGGAGGAAAAGCACACGGGGGTTCTGACTGCATTGCCACCAGTGGCAAAAGTCCCTCTTGCCTTCAGAAGGCCAGGTATCTCTCCCCACATCCTTGTTCCCCATGGGCTGACTCAGGAGGCTGTACTTGCAGGGTGCAAGCTGCAGTGCATCTTCTGCTCTAGGAGCTGCATCCTCCTCTACACCTTCAGAAACCTTTCCACCTGCATGAGCCCTTCACCAGACCTTCACCTCCCATGTAGGCAGATATTTGAAAACCACCATCCAACAAGTAGGAGTGGTGACTTCCTGCTGGGCAGCCCATGTCAACTGCCTCTGCCCTCATTCAGATCCAGGGAGGTGGGGTCCCTTGTCCTTCTTCATCAGGCAATACCCAAGAAGCACATTCACATGACAGCTCTTGCTTGTGACATCTTTTTTTTGGGGGGGGAAATCAACAGAGGAATTGAGAACATGGAATAAAATGTACTGTAATTAGTTCCTCTTTGCTCTGGGGGAAATTTCTGCCAGGAACTTACCAGCAAAAAACCTGCCCTTCGGATCCACTTTCCCATCATTGAACCTGTTGTTGGGCTTATCCTGCTCGAGCTCGAGGATAGTGGTGACAGCCTGAGTGTCCCAGTCCAGGCAGGCAAACCTTCTCCCCAGGGCAAGGACGTAGCCCCCGCGCTGCCGCAGCGCCACCGAGCCCACACGGGAATCTGCAGGGAGGGAGTGCAGATGGCAGGTGGCTCTGGGGCATCACTCAGCTCTACCTCTCCCCACCTCAAGTCAGGGATCTTGACTGGAACATTCCTGACCCGAGGAAGGCTGAGTTGATGCGGACATCCTTCTCCCCTGGGACTGTTAGCACATCTCACTGACTCTGTGCTCTCCAGATCTCTCCACCTTCTGGGCAGGCACAGCCATTAGGACTTTCTCCTCTGCAGGTCCCAAATGAAACCTGCCTTCCCACTGGGGCTCAGCAAGGGCAACATGTGCACGTTCCCCCACGTGTGAGCACAGTCCCCTCTGCCAGGCTGGCTTGGGCCACACCATGCTCAGCACTGAGCTCAGCATGCTCAGTGTCACAGGAGGACAGAGCCTGTGGCCCCAAGGAAAGTAGAGGAGACCACCATGCAGCTGAACTTCTATCAGGAGGAATGGAGAGGGGTGGACAGAGGAGGCCCCCAGGATGAAGCAACAAGCAGGGATACTTACCCACAGACACGCTCTGCACCTCGTTGGTGAGTGGGCTCCAGCGGCAAACTTTCTGTGAGTTGATGTCCACGTAGACAAGTGCACTCTCCCTTTCTTCCCAGACAGGGCACTCTCCCATCCTGTTCTTCTCCTTCACAACAGATTCGATTTTGATGGAGGACATGGTCTGAGGGAAAGTGGGTCAATAAAAGATTTAATTATAAGCTCTCATCTCAATTTTTCAAACCTTTGATGCTTAAAATCAGAGCTTGTAAATGGCAAAGCCCTCTGAAACCCACATGACGGAGTAATTTAGAAGGTTTCTGTGATGTTTCCACGGCTTCATGGCTGCAACTGAGCATGAGGCACTAAGGCTTCTTCCGAGCAAACCTTTCCTAAGCAAGAGACTTTAAATTGGACCTGCTGATGGAGCACTCGCCTCTGGGGAAAGGAAGTGCTGTGGGCACAGTCCTGAGCCAGGACCAAGTTGTCCCCATGGCTGGGGATCCGTGATGCCAAGGGTCCCCCAGCCTATGGGGAGGGACCAGTGGGCAGCAGTACTAAGGGGTCAGAAGACTTTTTTTTTGTGGAAAAACAGATTTCTGCTTATGAAGGCAGATGCATTGACTTGCTCCATAGGAAGATGTACACACACCCACCAACTGCACCAACTGCAGTTTGCCACCAAGGTCACTACAAATGAAGTGTCTGTTCCCACATCAAGCCAGTGTGAATATGCAAACACTGGGGAAAGTTCCTGCCTTTGAAATCCTGCTGCTTTGTTTTCCCTCCAAGCATTTCCTCTTCAACAGCCCCCTCACTGCCCCAGCCAGGGCTCCAACCCCTGCCACAGATTCCAAATTGCACCCGGTGCCAGGCTGTGGGGTGTAATTACCCCAGTTGCTGCTTCAGGCACCAAGTCACCCATGAAGCTTCCATCCCAGGCACCTGCTCCTCCTGGGAGGTGTTCATGGAATCACAGAGTGGTTAAGGTTGGAAGGGACCTTAAAGATCATCAGGTTCCAGCCTCCCTGCTATGAGCAGGGACACCCCCCCAGTAGACCAGGCTGCACAAGCCTCATCCAACCTGACCTTAAACACCTTCAGGGAAAGGGAAGAAGCATTGTTGACCCTGTCCTCACCACGGCAGGGAGCCCACAGGGACACCAGCCACTCAGCCCCTGCCCAGGCACAGGGTGCCCAGTGCCGTGTGTTTGTGTCAGATCACCTTTGATGCCTTCCAAAATGAGAAGCTCAGCCCCAGGGCCTGCCCTGCCCCTGCTGCAGTGTGGGATGTGGACAATAAACTCCACCATTCAGCTCTTACAAAAGGAAGGGGCCTGCTCGTGGCCCCTGCTAATGGAGGTGCCACTTCTGTGCCTCTGGCCTCCGCACATTTTTTCCATAGATGAGAGAGATATTTCCTGTGAGGCAGCCTGTCCCTGACATAACACTATTGCTAGGGATTACTGCCTTCAAGTAGGCATTGTTCCCTAGTAGGTGAGCTGGTGGTAAGGTTTACATATAATTAATTAGCACTAATGCACTTCAAAGTACATGGGAAGAGCCTGTAATCTCCATGAGTGGAAATGCCAGGGCTGGGGATCCGGGATCTTCGCTGTTCCCCTGTCCCAGACACACATGGCAGGGGTCACAGAGCCAAGGTGAGATCATAACCCATTTATCAAATATAGCCTTCTCCAGCATAGGAAGGTGCAGCCCAACAGCATCAGTCTCCACTGTAAATGAGGATACTCAGCAAGATGCCACTAAAACCTCCTAAAACCTGTTAAGCCATGCTCGAGCTGGACGAGTGAGTTTCTCTTGGGTTAAAGTTTTGTGTCATGTGGCTACCAGATTTAGGACCCAAGGCTTGGAGACACAACATTGACATTATTGTCTTGTGGTCTGGGAAAACACATTGCTGCTCTTACCCCTCCCAGAAAACCAGGTT